GGAGGGGAGGCCAGGCGGCAGAGCGGCGGGGGGGGCTGGCAGGCCCCACCGACGCCGGCTGCCGCGCGCCGCGCCGCGGTGTCCGGCCGGCCGGTCTGAACCGGACTTACTTTCGCCGCTCTGAACCAAGGGGTCGTCACCGATGCGGTGTGAAGGTCAGTGGTCCTTCTAAAGAGACCTCCTTCCGATGGGAGAATGCCACGGTGCGAACGAATACTGTTTAAAACTGCCGCCTGCTCCGCCGAAACCGCTGCCCTGTCTGACAGGAGCACGGGCGCTGCTGGGGCCTACCTACCCTGCCGCCCGGTCCCGCCGCAGCACCGCGCTTACAGCCCGGTGCCGAGCCGTCAAGGGGCAGCGAGTAGCAAACCTGACGCTCAACATCCACAGCTCCTGTGCTTTCCAGGAAACGGCACCTAGTAAGAACAGATCCTTCCCAGGTACGGCACGGTTTCCTTCCTGATCTAGCCTGGCGATAGCAGAAAATGAGTAGGTTATGTAAATGGCCAAAGCAAAGATGCAAAAGGTGTTCGGCATTAAAAAGCCACCGTTTCTTGAAGTGAAGTTCTTCAAGCTGTCCCTCCTCAGATTTCACAAACTGCATGCTTGCTCAACACACACACACAGGCTTATCGACTTCAAACTTCTGACACAAGATTTGCAACACGCTTTTGAGAAGATTTGCACAATCATTACAGGTAACACATGACTCCTAGAGAAAGGAGTCCTGTTTAACTCCGGTTTGCATCCCATTTGAATCACAAGAACGAAATACTGTCCATCTAGCCATCGTGTCAAATGCCTCAGCTCTAGAATGAAGATGATAATTTCTCTCTGGTATGATAAGCTAAAACAGAAAATAACTTTTTACAGTAATCCTCTTTCGGACACTTAACTCACTTTAGGCTGATTTTAAGCCTGGGTTATGGGGAGGGATGTTAATCTCTTGTTTCCATATTGCAGTGTGGACAACAAAAAAGGTATCCTCAATTCCACTGGGTTACTGACTGGTGTCACTGGGTGAACTGAATTAGGGTTCTGAGCTGAATGCTGTCCCAGTACAGGTTGTGTACAAGCATACACAAGACTTACAGGGTACTTTTACAATCGAGAAAGCAAACAGTATTTCTGGGCTTTGATTTTTAGAAACATTCTCTAAAAAAATTGAGCTGATAAACCAAATATGAACCGACATCTCAGTGAAGACAATGAGGACATCTGTGTGTAGGTGAACTTACAGCATTGTCTGCTGATTGTTATAAATATCTGAGGCTGATGTGCAACTAAATATTTTATGTTTCATATAGCTCTTCCTCAAGTTATAAACAATGTTTGCCCTGAAGGTACCTGGGTGGGGGAAATGTGAGAAACCCGGAAAACAATTTCAAATCCTCTTATCCCGATGTTTTACTAGCAGCCTGAAACACATTTCAAATGCATCTGAATCAGTAGCTGTAGGCATGAACCCTGAGGTAAGGAAAATAGTTTCTTAATGAGGTTCCAGAAATGGACAGCTTTCTGTGCTGCCTGTTCTTTCTAGAGGATGCACAGACTACTTTCAAAAGCTTGCAATTTTAAGCTACAATTACCATTTTAGCAATCATAAATATATCCTACTTTTTCCCTTCAGGAGGAAGGGATGAAAAACATGGCGTGTCTTAAGGCAAGATACACTCCATACATAACTCCACAATGCACCTGGAAGGAAAAGCACCCGGCTGGGTTAGGGCCCGGTGCTAGTGAGCTTTGAAGCAAAACTGCAGGAGTCACAGAACTTTAAAGCAGAAAGACACAAGAGAGACAACCTTTTTGTATTGTGTATTGCTCCCTTGTGTTCTCTTTCCCCTATAGTCATAGAGACTAGGATACTTCCTACTGTCTGCTTTATCCTGTAAACACCTGCTCCTGTCTTGCCGAGCACTGCATATCGGACCAGCTGGGAATCAGAGCCTTACCAGAGAGTGTTATTGTAAACTTCAGAAAAGGGAAGTGCCCCTTCTCTTTCCATTTAAATCAAATGGAGTGTATCTCCATTCTTGCATGTTAAAGGACTGTTTTGTTATATTCCCCCTATTCTATACTATTCCTTCAACATACACTGATAAAAACAGATACAATTTCAAAACTGTCTCTGGGAGCCCAGTGCTGTATTTTCATATGTTGGTAAACTCCCTGAATGTAAAGGCTCCTGTCCCCTGATCAATGGAGCCTGAAAGTGAGACAGGCTAGCTGTTTGCATTTCATTCATCTTCAAAGATAAAAATAGGCTGTAGCCAGACTGAAAAGTGGAGTGAGAAGATTTTACAATTTTTTTGCCAGTCCTTGTATCACTAGTAGTTTGCCAGCCAATGAGATTTTTGTCTGTCTTTGCAATGTGCAAAACAAGGATCAGTTGTGCTGTGCTAAACATCTGCATGTACCACCAAACAAGATTTTAAAACAGTTGTTCAAATACTTCTGGTTTCCATCTTCTAACTGAAGCTGGTTGCAATTCAGTGGTGGGATTTTTCTTTTTTTAGTTTTAGTTCTGTTCATCCTGATTGCTCACTTGCCTTCCTGACTTCGGAACTGCAACTGCAATGCACAAATACTAGTTAAGTCATTACTAGATTCCACTTTATTCAGAAGAGATGCTCAGTGGATTTATGTAATGGTGAACTATGTAATGGCACAACCAGCATGCTATAAGTGTTATTTTCAACCCTGTACCTGGAAGCAAGTGGCTAGACTGCCTGGCAGAGCTGTGACATACTCTGGACACTCATGGACGACCATGTCTTGCTGTGCGTGTACTGCTTTGGAAGACAGTCCATCTGATCACAGTTTCAGATGTCAGGGGAGTTCAGCTGGAGTTGGGCTTCATTCTGGTCCCCGGCCTGCTCTTGGGCTGCTTCCTAGATAACTTGTCAGCAGCTGAAGTTGAACAAAATTTCAAGCTGAATTCTGTGGCTTTCTGATAGACCTGCTTTTCTCCTTCCTGGGTTCCTGACATCAGTGACAGTATAATCCCATGTATTGCTCAAGAGTTGGTCAGTTGTGGGAATGTGACCTGGACTGCAAGGACTACTGCAGGTGTCTGCAACGACTGCAGTGACAGGCTATGCAGTTGTTGCAGGCACCTTAAACAGAAAGTACACAGGTGATTCCAAAAGTGGGAAAAGGTTCTTTGGATGACTCAGAATAATCTTCGTGCTTACTGTATACAGAAGCTGGAGTGGCTCTGAGCAAAGGAGGCTGAGGGGAGACCTTATCACTCTCTACAACCACCTGAAAGGAGGTTGTAGTGAGGTGGGTACTGGTCTCTTCTATCAAGTAACTAGTGATAGGACGAGAGGAAAGGGCCTCAAGTTGCACCAGGGGAGGTTTAGATCAGGCATTAGGAAAAATTTCTTTACTGAAAGGGTTGTCAGGCATTAGAACCGGCTGCCCAGGGAAGTGGTGGAGTCACCATCCCTGGAGGTATTCAAAAAACACATAGACGAGGCACTTCAGGACATGGTTTAGTGGGCATAATGGTGTTGGGTTGACAGTTGGACTTGATGATCTTAAAGGTCTTTTCCAACCTAAACAATTCTATGATTCTATGATCCTACTTATTAGTTACTAAACTTTGAACCTGTATTTTCTTCTGTATGTTTTTCTTCTATACTTTTTTCTTTTCTAGCCTACCTTGACCTTTCTCTTTTCTGTCCTTTTCTTACCCTACTCTGCAGCTGATGGAGCAGAAATCAACTCTGCCTCATTACACAGTGACCTAGAAAGCCAATAGCCTGCATCAGCAAATCAGTACCACCTGTGCATCTGCCTAAAATAGATTAATGAATTTATTAAAGTTTTGAGGAAGGGATTGTTTTGCTTTTGCTATTGCATTCTTTATTTTTCATTGTAGGTCAGTGCATTTTTTTTTCCATAAAGCAAAAAGTTATTTTAAGTCAAAACACACTGAGTTATGCTTATGCTGCCCATTCTGGGTAACTGAATGCAGCTGAAATGTTGAACTGGGACTATAAATCATAGTACAAGGGGATGCATATGGAGAAAAAGACACATCTGATTTTGAGAGACAAGCAAGGAGGCTCGGTTGGTTTAACTTGCTACCTGACTTTTTCAGATTGGCCATGACTGGCACCAGAGAGTGGGAGCAATAGATCTCCAGGGCCAAATCTCTCATACCCAGCTACTGAACCCATTTCTGTTATCTAGAGCAGTCCTTTTCCTGTTGTCCATGAAGTTACGGTTAAAATTCCATAGCTAGTTGTATACAACTGTTACATAAAAGCAGGAAATAATCACACCTGAATGTTCAGACCTCTCCTGGAAATATGTTATATGGCAGTGCTTACAGAACATAAGCATCAACACTGTGTACCTGCTTCTCATGCTTATCATAATTTACACTCTCCACTATCAAGTTTGGTCTGTTGTCACTGTGCCTTTTGTAACACAGAACTGAGTCCTGAAGGCCCAAAATTCCTGTTAATCCTCATCAGCATCACAGGGTTTAGAGCCAGAGGCCAGAGCCTCTCCTGAATATTGACAAGAGGATAGTAAGAGGAGTTTATGTGAAGATGGAAGGGATTTGGTGGGGAGGGAAAGGACCGTGTTGATGAAAGGAAAATTAGAACCAACCTACTATATCAAAGAATTGGATAAATAATACTCAAAGATGCTTATATTCCAAATGTACTACAAACATTTTTTTCTGTTTAAAGAAAAGAGGTAAATTGAAATCCACTGGGTTGCTTAATAATCATAGCTCAAGTATGTAAGTTACAAGCTATTTTGTAAAACTTACTTATTATTAAAAGCCTTGCTTTTCCTGTACATAAGTAGCCATTGCTAAAGAGCTGACTAGAAAGGCTGATTTTTGAGAGAGGAACACTCTTGTTCAGTTGTAGATTTTCTTAAAAAATAGTAAAGCATAAAAATTAGTAAGCTCACATGCATAAGTTCAACTAGCACAACTCTCCTTCAATAGCTTCTACTGTACTTCTGAACTGGTGGAGCTGTCAGTCTGTGACCAATGATGCACGCTCATTAAAGTTTTGAGGGACTTTTAGAAACATAGCCCAAATAAAATAAAAAAAATCACTATTACAATTCTGCTTGGGTGTGTATTGTTTTGTGCATATCTATGCACACATTGCAGATCCTCATCAGTGAGTGGTAGCTGAGCTGGATTAGCTGCCAAAAGGAGTTGAACCGTTTACTAGCTTACCAGGAATGCTAGGCTATGACTTCTCCTTGCTAACACAGCTCACCTGCCTCCCAGACCTGTGCTTGCTCAATCTGCATAGTGCTGTGTTGCGCCATAAAGGCCAACCTTCAGGATATAGTTTCTAACCTAATTTACTGGGGTAGAACAATTAAGAATTTCTTTCTGCCCTGCCCTGTACCACAGCTGCCTGTTAACAAGGTTGTGCCAATACACCTGTTCCCTGGAGCTGTGCACGAAAAAATGCAAGCTAAAAATTCCTTAGGGGGGGCTGGGGATGATATTTGAGGATTATTTGCAACCAGGGCATGTTAGTGTTTCTCCTTCCCTCCACTCCCCTTACAAACATACATGAAGAACTGAAGAAACAGTGAACAGGCTTGGATCTGTTTTATACTGGTTTTGCTACCTAGCTTGGTTGTCTATGACCATAGCAGAACTCTCTCAGCAGTTTCTTTTGCTTCAAGTTAAAGCAAGCTAATAACAGTTTCCTGATTGCGGGGAGGAAAGGGAACTAAGCTTTCTCTATTTATTATGAAAAATTCAAGGGTGTCCTAGCACAGAGGTTAATATCTAAGACGCTTCAAACAGGAGGCAACAAGTTAATCTCCATAATCAGAAGGGTTCTACTGCATGTTTGCAGCAGGCGGTGAGCAAACCACTTCCAAAGGTGATGAGCCAAGAGCTGCTACAGCAGCTTCAACAGCACTGTAAAGTCTGAAACATTGCCTTAAACCACAGGTTCAGTTTTACTGAAAACTCCATTTCGCCTAAGTTCCAACTAGGGGAAATGAAGTTGTGTTGCGTGTACACTACTCCAGGCAGTAGTAGTGAGGATCACTTGTAGCAATAATGTGACTCAACACAAGATTTGTCGTTTTGAAAGGGCAAGAGTACATTTTAGTCATCTTAACAATCCCACTTGGCTTCTAGACAGGCAGCTAGTGACAGAAGGCTCTGTAGCAGAGATATGTATCAGCTGGGCAGACTCATCTGAGCTGGTTGTATGCTGCAGACCAAGTCTAAGTATAAACTAAAGCCAGCAAACTCTGTTTACCCTCTCTGTCTAACAACATCCAAGCTAAAACCTGAATATTCAGATGTTCCAGTTCTTCCTGAAATGGGAACCCAAAAGTGAAACTGAAATCCTGTGAATGACTGACTTCCCATATGAACACTGGAATCATTACTGCTTTCCTGCCTAAATCACATAGCAGTAATGTTAGTATTTGAAAGTCCATATAATGTAACTACACAGATATCAGTGGCATTCCTGTTGATACCATTTCTTAAGATTTTTCCCCTCTTTTTTCCCAGACTATTCTTCAGGGGATTATTTTGCTACCCCTCCGTGCCATATGCATTGCATTCATTTTACTGCTAGCATGGCTGTTTGCATCAATTGCAACTTTCCGTCACCCTGGAAAAGGATCTGTGCCGCTGAAAGGATGGAGAAGGTAAAGTGACCAATATTTGTGAAAACTCTGTGCTTTTTTTTTTTTGTAATAACACAAAGCCAGGGTCTAACGCATTTTTTTTTCCTCTCACTTGTTTTCTCCTTTTGACTAAAGAGGAGTACTCAGTCAAATCTTAGTTTTACCCATTTAGGTGAAGCAACTTTTTGATGAGTGTATTTTACAACAATAGTGGAGCTTTTTAAATAGGTAGATTTTCAATTGTCTTGAGGCTAAAACAAATCTGTATAAAAATCTTTATAGACTATTTGTAAGCCAGGACTTATTTTAGTAATAATACTGATAGGAATATTTGAGAAAAGAAACTCATTAAGAAAAGTATTTGGTAATGTTACATAGGCTGAGTTTCTCTGTAGCCCTTGTCATTCCTGCTATGCTATAGTTTATGACAAAATTAGCTTTGACAGCTCCTCTCTTAGCTATGTTGCCCTTGAAGGAGTACTGTACAGCTGCCTCTGTGGGTTCTGGGTTTCAGTTGCTCTGGGTTTCTGACCTCAGAGTAATGAAGTTCCCTTCTAGCTGTGATGCACAGCAGCTGCACGCAGGAGGAGGAGGCACAGGAAGTGAATTCTAACAAGGCTGAGAGATTACGAAGAGTCCCGTGAAGGGAAGATGTCCCCTGCTGAGGGAACATGTCCCAGTAAGGGAACAGGGTCATTTAATATTACTTGTTTAAAACTGATAGTAAAAGAACTATCAGAACTGGTATCAGAGTTACCCAAGTTCTTACAAAAAGGACACCGAATCTGCTAATTACCCACCCTCCCCTCGCAATAGTGTTGTGCTACAATGCTGTAAAATATGGCAAGAGAAATAGTGTACCTGGGAGAAGGTTTAGCAAGGTGCTGTACCTTGCCTTATCTTTAAAATTATAATCTGGTTTCAACATGAAAAGGTGATGTTCCCTTCCCTGCTTCTACTCCTTCCCCTTTAGCCCTACACTCTCCCGGTGAGTAGTATTGCTACCTTGTGCCTGGCCCCAGTGCTGCTGAGAACTAGGAAACCTATTATGGGCTTTTCTTTTAAAGTACAAAAGAAATGCTAACTGTAAGATGGATGATATTTTTGTGTTTCTGTTTACAAGGAGGATGATCCAGACAACCCTCTCATGCCTAACTCGTATGCTGTTCTTCGTAATGGGTTTCCAAGTTAAAGTAAAAGGGAAAATAGCAAGTCTACTGGAAGCCCCAATCTTTGTTGCAGCTCCTCATTCAAGTTTTTTTGATGCCATTATTTCTGCCCTAACTGGAATGCCATCAATAGTGTCTAGAGCAGAGAACCTGTCAACTCCGGTACTTGGCAGTAAGTATTTATGAAAAAATAAAATGTTAGAAGTCAGCAATTTGACATTAGGCCAAAAGTCTTATCTCTGAAAGTGATTTAAGGGCAGACGTCTTAAACCTTTAGGTTTCAAAGATACTGACAGATTATTTCTAGTGAAATCCCTGTGACAAGTTATCTTTCTGAATTGGTCAAAATGTCTAAAACTATGCCGTTTCTTTTCAGATATGAAATATAATATCACTTTAAATTTGCTTTATACTGAAAGGATGTCTTCTAACTGCTCAGGCTAGAAGCTTTCTCTTAAAATTCTCCTAGTAGATACCTTGAGAAATCTGTTCGACTGCTGTCTTTTAACAGTGTGTCCCACAAATGTACAACATGGATTAGTGAAGGTTATTTCAAAACAGACCCAAACTACAGCATTCTGGAAAATACCGTATTTATAAGTTTAAACTTGCAGGCATTTTTGCGGATATTTTTTTTTTAATGGGAGTCAAACCAGGAAAGAATAAAAGAGAAGTTACTCAAAAAGGAAATGCAAAGAATGGAAGAGATCAGATGACTCATGCTTCTATTATTTCCTCCTCCTTTTGGCACAGAAAGAATCCTCATTTGCATTATTACTAGAATCAGCTGTAGACTTTCTGCTGGCTGTACAGCAACCCAAAACTAAACTCAGTAGGCAACATAGAGAAGTGTCTTTGTAGGAAATAAACTAACTGATAATACATTGATCTTCTCTTAAAAGCACAGGAGTGGGACATAGAAGATAATTCTTCCCTAAGTTTCTCATCACATCTTAATAGGTACACACATTCTGATTTAGACTCCTGATTAAATGTGTGTGGGGGTGTCTGCAGTTTACGCAGGAGCTGTGTGTGCTTTGTCACTGAAAAGGGACGTCTTACTTCTTCAGCATAGGCTCAAACTACTTGTTGGTTGCAGTCTGCATGAGTTAGGCCTGAGTGTGGCCCATGAGCAGAGACCTGATCAGGTCTCTTCCTTAGAATTGTGTGGAAATGCTCAGTGAAAAATAACAGCAGTATTAGTAGAATGTGTTTGGGTGAATTTGGCATGTTTATACCTACTGTAAAGCTCCTCAGCTGGCAGTGTAGGTATGTCTTCTATGTCTTACTTCCCATTTTGCAGAATGAGGCAATAATAACACTCTTCTTATCTATTTAGTCTGAAAGCTGTTTGTGCAGAGTCTGTCTCCAGGCATGAGCATAACAAGTTTTTGCTATAAGAGAGTCTTGAACTCGTGTTTTCTAAGCACTAGTATGAGACAAATAAAAATGTTTATCTCCTTCACAGCCATTTTAAGTTCCCTTCAGCCTGTATCAGTTTCTCGTCAAGACCCTGATTCACGGAAGAATACGGTCATCGAGATAACAAAGCGGGCATTATCAAGAGGCCAGTGGCCACAGGTAATAAATATGCTACTAGTCTTCTGTCAAGTATTCATATTACATATTCACTGTGCATCATAATATCACGAGTGCCCAGCTGAATAGGATTCTATTGATGTACAAAAATGAAGTCAGCTCTCAGGTATATAACTGGTTTAGGAAAGGAAGATGAGAGGCTGGTTCCCAGAAGGAGTTTTCTTGTGACAAATGGGTCAGTTAAAATCCATCCAGTAACAACTGCTGTTCCAAATGCAGATGCTCTTGACTTTCTCTTTTCCCTAGTCAAGTCTTAACATACTGTCGTCAGTGTAGCAGATGACTTGCATTGGTATATGTGAATGAGTACTCTCAAGCTAGCTCTTGCATGAGAAGCTATGTTGCAAAGCTGTGCTCATAACAGTTAGGGGATGAGCAGTTGATGAGATGGGTAACCCAGGCTGTCCACGCTCCAGCATGAACAGTACTTAAGCTTAAAATATCGATTTCACATGTGGAGAAAAGCTGAGATGAAGCTCAGTTCACTCTTTAGGTTAATAATGCACTAAACCCAAGACTTAGATTAGTCTAAATTGTGGAAAGATTTTAACATGGAAGCAATAGTTACTGATTCTGCACAGTTTTTCCCATGGTCATTCCTCAGCAGCAAGTCACTGTTGCGCTTCTAGGCCTTGGATGGCTTTCCATCCTGAAGAGCTAATGGGGCAGGGGTTGCTCAAGAGGAAGAAGAGTGTTGAGGCAGCAACTCTGCTGCTTTTGCAACAGGGAGAGGGCTCGGATGGAAATCCGCATCCTTTGCAAGCAGAAAGACCTGGAGCGGTTGTGAACCTACTGACATCTCATTTGGCAGTGCCTCTCTGCTTTCTTCTGTTGCATTGACTCTGGTCTCATGTTGCCTTCAGATACTATGAATACAGTATCATTGCCATGCTGCTGGACAAATACAGTCAGTGATATAAGACCTTTCTCTAGAGATACTCTGTGCAGATTTGTGTATAAACTCATGCTTTGTGATTTGAATTATTTCTTGACTTGGTTTCTTAGGGGTTAATTTACTTAAAATAAAAACTCAAAGAAGTGACTGGTTCAGTAGCTAAAGTCACAAGGTCTCTTTAGTCAGAGTTGGATACTCCCTACATGACTGAGAGAAGTTAACTTTTCCTTCACTTTTGTTCCAGTGAATGGCTCTTGAGGAAAATTAAGAGAGGCAAGTGAAGATAATAGACTTCAGTAGCAGGTATCTCTATGACAGCTAGACCTGAATACACTGCTCTACTTGCTGAATAGTCTCTAGAAAGAGAGAACATTCACGTAGGGAAGACCAACACTTGCCACTTTTCTTGAAATGGCATTATTTAGACACTTCATGCATCATTTTTACTTAGCAAGCACCTTACAAAAAGCTTTTTAGTTAATGTTTAGGCTACTTTAATTTGACTCATAAATGCATTTTTCTAAGCTGCCATAAATACTTTTAAAACCTTCATTATTTTTTTCAGTTTGTCAGTTATATGGAGGATTTTAAATATGCAAAGCTAGGAAGGCTTTTTTTTTTTTTAATACTGTGCTTACAAACTACTCTGATGCTTGCAATTTGCTAGACTGTTATGGATGAAGTGATTCCAGCAAAGCCCTGGTAGACCTAATCTCTGCTGAAAATAGCATGGGGAGGAAAGGGGAATTGGCTCTACAGCAATACTGCACTTGGGATAAAAACTAGATATGTATCATGGCATAAATAGTCTATGAGTCAGGTAACCTGGGAATCTCCAGGACTAAGTCAGCAGTATAACTGGGGGTGTCACTGGGTGATTCCTAGTCCTGTGCCCTGGCCACACCTTCCTCCTACTCTGGTTTTTTTTGAGAAACTTGACCACAAGATGATGTCTGTCATATCCTCTTCAGAGTGCATGGGCTGCATTCTCTTAGCACAATAGAAAAGAAAGAGTAGCTGGATTCCCTGTTCCTTCCTCCTAAAACCAAAACACAACAAGCAGGGCAATGCTTGTGCTTATTAATAGCATGAGGTTCTGATAAGTGCTTCTCCCAACCCTGTATCAAAACGAAGGGGAAGGAGGGAATGATTACTTAATTTTCAGTCAGTCACTAATACGTTTTCTGTGGCTTATGACATACGCTAAGCAGAAACATATCCATTTTGTGTCCATGTCAGAACAATTTCTGATTATAGAATGCGTAGTGAAGGACTGACTGTAAATCGGTATGTGCAGCTGTCTCTATCACACCTTAGTACAGCCTGTGTCTCTTGGGTGTGACCTAATGATGCCCTCTTTCATCTAGCCTTGACCTGTTCATTTGGACTGAAGTGGGAGCATACCTTGAACACTCTTTTGACCCAGACCAGTTCTTGTACTGAGGTTTTTTTGGAATGCTTCTTATGATCCTATAGTGATATGAGAAACACAGATCCTCCTTATATTCCATAGGGGGCTGGATTCAGTGTGTCACATTGCAGCTCACTGTGCATCTAATGAAGTATCTTTCAGACACTAATTCAGAAACCTTCTGGGTATTTGGTGTGTCTGAGTAATTCAGGTTCAGAGGCTGTGTAGTGATATGTAATGCATTCAGAGCTCTGCATCACAGATGCATATGCTCTCTCTGCCTTTTGTTGCTACCCCTCAAGCTGTGATCTTCTCATCTCACTCATGTTGATAGCATCTGTGCCAGTAAACGCTCAAGAACCTTATGCACTTCATGTCAGCCCAGACTCTTGATGGTTATACACCCAGCAGTTCAATAAGGAGCTGCTGGCAGAGGAACAATTCTCCTATCATTACCAACACTAAACATTTCAAGTGAAACACTTAAAGCCTTTTGTACCGTATTTCTGAACTGATAAAGGCCTTTCCCCTGAAATTCTCTCTTACAAAGCATTTGTTTCCAAATCAAGATGGATCAGGTTAATGCTACTGTGAGCATCCTTCACTTATTTGTTCATTTCCTTTCGAAACAGTAATGATATTCTTGTGATGCAGTGTAATATGTCACAGAGCTTGCATAAAAAGTCAGCCTTTATGTAACTGATGGGGAAGTATAATCTTTTTATGAAATGTGTGTATATATGTATTTCTTTCTCTTTAAATCCAAGATACTGATTTTCCCAGAAGGCACCTGCACAAACCGATCTTGCCTGATCACATTTAAACAAGGTGAGAGGTTTTGTCGCATCGTTGTTGGAAAATAAGGTGTGAAATATTAATTTGGTAGTTCTGGTAAGGCCTATACTTCTGCAGGTACCTCATCCACAACAGCACTGTAGTAATGTCTGATATCATTACCGTTTCAGTGGCGCTAAACCCAATATTTTATACTAGTCAGTTTACTTTTCTGATTTTTGGTATTTTGTAGGATGCAAAATACCTATGATGTATATGGTTAGTTGGTTGGGGTTTTTTCTGGGTACAGTTTTAATCTAATTTATTTATCCAGAATTGACTGTGATTATTATGAGATGAACTACCAAAATACATGCTACTTATGATGTTCTTTTAGCTCAACTTACAGTCATGCCATCTTAGATTCCTGTAAATTTTGCCATGCAAGACCTAGCAACCAAGTTAAAAAATCTCTTTGCATAGTGCTTAGCAAGGCAGGCCTTGCGATTATTTTTAACACAGAAAGGTACTTGATAGCATCACTGATCATTAGATTGTTGTGCTGCACTTCAGTTAAAGCCACGTTGCTCTCCTTTCTTACTGTTGTACAGTGCCTTGGGTAGCAAAGGTACAAAAACAGTACTACATGCTCAGATTCATATCACTTATGAAGATAATCAGAACAGAAAAGGGTTCAGGAAATCCTCAACAGCCTTGTGAGCATCTAATCCTTTGAAATGAATGCCAGTCAATGGGGAGATAATACACAGAAAACGAGTTTGAACAGTCTAGGAATGTTAGGCAGCTTTCTCCTTGAAATGGAGACTAACCCTTTTCTGTCCTGACATCTTGCTGGTTGTGCTGCTGATTTAAAAACAAACAAACAAACAAACAACACAGAAAACCTACAACAATAAGAACACTTCCCATTTCTTCTCACATTTTTAAAAATTTCTCCTTCCAGATACCATGTCTTACATGAATCACTTAAAACTCCCAACTGCTGTATTAAGCTTAGTCTTAACAATCAATTCCAATTTGTGGTTGCAGGTGCCTTTGTTCCACGAGTCCCTGTGCAACCTGTGTTGCTCCGATACCCCAACAAGCTGGTAAGCAGAACATTCTTCTATCACTAATTAGTAATACAGAAGTCAAAATCCTGACTTAAACAGTACCTACGATAAATATTTTGCCTTGTCACTGAAGAATCTATTGTCCTGAGCCTTTAGCATTGGAGCAGCCAGGCTTCCCCAGTGTCACCATGGTGTAGTTGCTATTCTGATTGTAAAAAATTACTGCTGGGCTTCTTAGCTATAGTTAAAGTAAGAGGGAGCATAGGAAAGTATTGCAGCGGAAGTTAGAAACTTCCTGCAAAGCCACAGAGCCTGTACTTTGAAGTCTAAAATGCACACAACTTCTCTACTAGTCACCATTTTTTTGTTTAAGCTCAAAATACTCTTACTGCAAAGGGGCTTGCAAAGTTTTGGAACAAAAGTAAAGCTAAGCCATGCAGTACCTCCAACACCCCCTCCTTCAGGAGCCTCAGGAGGGCAGCTTTGCAGATGGTTCTTTTCCTGCAACTTTCCCATGTTATGCGGAGTAAATGTTTACACTTTCTGCCATGTATAGGGGCACAGACGTATGGCTCTGCTTCACTGACAGGTGTAATGCTGGGACATGAGTCTAGCAACTTGTTAACTTTCTTTTTAATTACCCGGTCATCCAACAAATCCAGAAAAGACCAAACTTTTCATTTCTAATGGTTTTTAAGATTAAAAACCAGTGATTGTTATTGTTGTTGTTGTTATTTACAAAGAATCCTTTGTAAAATCTTTTTACAGATCAATTTCAAAAATTAAGGGAACAACTAAAGGGGACTGGTATTGCATTTCACTGAAAGGATTTAAGGATCTGAAGTATACATTGTAAAAATTATATATAAGTAGTAATAAACATAAAATAAGGAAAAAAATATCAAAAAAAAACCAAAGAAAAAGCATGACAGATTACCTGTGCAGAAATGTCCTTAAAAACTAAATCAAACATATTTATGAGGGTGCCCTTCTAAAGGAACTGGTAAAGTCCTCTGAAAAAGTCTTACTAGATTTTTTTTTTCCAACCTCTGTTGTTTGGATCAGAATGAATGATTTAAAATATCTAAGTAACTATATAAATTTTGTTCCCAATTGTTGATATTATCAAAAGTCTGCCATACTTATTTCCAAATTTTTAAGGCAAGGAATCCTAGTCACCCTGACACCTTTATTTATTTTCACTACAGGACTATAAAACCATCTTCTATACTGTAACTTATCTGCTCTCTGACTTTCATCTGGTTTTGTCATACATTTCTGTGTTTTATTTTTCTCCTTAGGATACTGTGACCTGGACATGGCAGGGCTATTCATTGTAAGTTTCTTAATCCTACTGAAAATTACATATTGAATTTTTTTCCCCCATTGCTAAACAGTCTGCCAAACAGATTCAGCTAAGCCAAGACACATGTTCTTCTAGATCTGTTTTTATGAGGGGGAAATACTTGGTGATAATGCTGTCATGCAGTAGATTTCATATCTGAGTGGCTAGAGAAAGGGTTTGCAAGTGGGGAAGCATTATTTCCAGCTCTGCCACCATTTTGTTTAATTTTTTCCTATGTTTTGCACATTACACTAGAGCAAAAGAAGTATTTTAAATTCTTTTTCTTGGGGAAACAATAATAGTCATTAAAATCCATAGTTGTTTACAGTTTCCTACATGGTATACAAACAAGAAAAAATGTTCTTTTATCCCCTTTGTTTATTCATTCCTCCATCTCATTTGAAGAAGATGGGCAAAACAAGTATTAATTTTCCCCACCTTTCCCCATTCAAACATCGAGGATTCTTCTTTAGATTTTTATTTTTGCCTGACTCAACAAAAGCAATTGTTTTGAGATCCCAGTGAATAGGCTATATATAGAGATATAGATACAGATAGTATCTGGCATTGAAATAATGAAAAATATTTCAATAAACAAGTTAGGCAGTGCATCTATGTTTATTTCTCAACACAGGTGGCCTTCTAATGTGCTAAAATATTTTATTAAAGTATTAGAAATCCTTTACAGGTGCACCGAAAATATGTCTGGAAAATACTTTTCACCTTATAAACATTCATTAAAATGTGGATTTGTAGAATCCATATACCACATTTTCATGTGGAATATGTAGTGTATCTAAGTACAGCAGTACTGATTTACTGACTAAAATTTTTAAGGCAACTAATTCTGAAACATGTCTGAACTGGTGGAGCAGATCATAAGCACCTTCTAAGCTATCATTAGTTAATCCTAGCACCGGCATACTTGTAGAATGGACATTATGAAAGCTGACCTAGATGAAAATGTCCATCTCGGTTTCCCAAGCATTTTTTTGCTATTATTATTCCTGCTGTTACAGTTATCAGCATACTGAGAGTAACAAACATTGCAAATTCAGTAGCATACTGCAGATTTCTCCTATGAAGGATTTATGATGGAAGATTGAAAAGGAGCTATGTCTTCAGTTATGACAGATGGCGTAGGAATAGGTGAAGAAAGAAATGATATCAGAGGTATTCCTGTGGAAGGAAGGAGGCTGCCCAGTCACTAAAAATTGAGAAATGCTCTAAGCCTGGTGGCTGGATGATGAAGGCTCAAATTGAAACCTATGAAAAGATGAAAGAAACAGCTTGGCAAAATCATGAGAAGAGAAGGGGTAGAATCTAGAGATTCTTAACAAAAACAGCTGGATCCGTAAGAAGAACATCCCCCGTGCAAACCTGCAGATCACAAAATGCAGAACTGTCACACTCTTTGTAAAACTTCCTGGATATTGTGGCCAGGATGGGACAGTACCAGTCTCCTCCTCAGAAACATCCTGACCCAGTTTCTGCTTTCACTTACTACTTCTTTCTTTCTTCTGTGCCTTACTGGGAGGAATACCTAATGTTACGTGTTAGAAAATCGAGTGTTAAGAGTGGATTCCTGCAGAAAGTAGAAGGAATCCCTTAGCTGTTCTCCTGCCTTTTCCTTTTATTTTTTTTTATTTTGTCCAAAACAAGAACAGAAGAAAGATTGCTTGAAGGTTTTCTATTATAATTTACCTGATTTAAAGTAAAGAGCAAATGTGCATTTCTGCTTAAAAATCACAGTGAAAAGAACAAGTCAGAAGTGGAAGTGATTATGCTTACCCTCTTTCACAGTTTCTTCCTCCCCCTCCCTGTTGATACTAAAATTTTTGACTTTTTCTGAAGGTCCCAAACATAATGACACTTCATTAACACATTTGTGGAAACGCTGCTATGATTTGCAAAATGGCTAGCAAATACTAACAAATCCTTGCTTCAATTCTGCAGAAGGAAGTTACTGGTCCCCTTTTGCAGATGACAGAATAAAAGATAAAGCTAATTCTCAGAACCAAAGCTCTTAAAGCGTTAAAATCCAGTATGTATTCACCTCTTTAAAGATGAAGACACATATAAATTTTGCTGGCCAAAGAAGTGTATAGTATTGTTAATATGCATGACAACAGACAACAAGTTGCCTGCCCAGTGAGCAAGAAGCAGCTATATGCAGAAGCCCTGTAGAAAAAATGTTGAAAGCAACTTCAGAAAACTTCACTGCAAGGTACTTAAAAACCTCACCCAATATTGGCTGTGTTTTTGTCAATGCTTTAAAAAGTTTCATCTACTGATGTGCAAATACTTTGTTTTTCAGTAAGTAAAATGTATTTTTCTTCCTCTTCCTCTTTGCCTGCAGAAAAGAGCTGTGCATAATGACGGTGTGTCAGCTCTTCACAAGAGTAGAAGTTGAGGTAAGAATTAGAAATATTTTTGTACTAAGATTCAGCAACCAGGGAATTTATACTTTAATATAAATGCATTATTCATATTATCAGTCAATTATTCACATTATCAGTCACTGTTAGTGAACAATAAACATGTCTCAGAAACAAGAACAGAATCACAGTGAGTAATATATTTAGATTTGTTGTCCATATCTATGTATCACTTAATCTAATGATTTCCTAAAAGCAAGCTGTCAGAAATGCCTTTATTTTTAAAGCATTGTAAAATCATTGCTAATTATCACCACATGCATTTTACAGATGTTAAAACTAAGAATTATAATACGTTCTGTTAAAGGTAACAGCTTCTTTCTTTCTTCATACTACTTACAATTACCAATACAGTCTTTGTTGCGAAACAATGAAATTAATTTTAAGGGAGCACCTTGTTACTGTATAGTACATGCAGTAGACACATTTATAGAAGGTGTACTAAAGAGCAAATTCTCCTAATTTTGTACGGAAGCACATACCTATGTAATTTATCTATGTGGGAGCAAGAAATAGCTAATGGAGCCCTTCCAGTAGAATGTTTATTTTCCCCTACTTCAGAACAGAACTCAAACTTGCCTGTTAGAAAATAAATTTCATGTTCCAAAAGATGAAACTGAAACATGAAAAAATATGCAGCTTTCACAGCAGCATGTGTCCTCAAAGCAGAACTAATTTCTTAGCATCAAGGCAAAAGATATTCCATTTTAAAAAGAGAAGGGGCAGATTTAACTGGGGAAGGAGGGAATCAGACTACTTCTTTTAAGAGCAGACATTTCTGTTGCTGTCCCATACTGTAAGCAAGTAGCCTCTCCACTCGCATGAGTCTTGCACTGCCTCTACTAACTGCACATGAACAGTGATGTACTCCTGTAGTCCAAGGGAGTATGTGCATGCATGTCTAGTCATATTCTAAAAAACTGTAGATATTGAAGATGAAACAGTGAACCTGGCAGTGAGTTTTAGGGCTGCAAAAGATACAGCATTTGGCAAATTCTGTATGAAGAGAGACTAGGTCAAAAGTAGATCAGAGAAGTATTTTTGCTACTGGAAGAGCTGTGAAGAATTTTTCTTGGAAAGACTGCAATTTGACAGGGAAGGTATACTTACTAGTCTTCATCAGGTAAGCAGCTGGGTGTCTTTGAGAGCATGCGTGCCACCTCAGGAGGCCAAGAAACCAAATTCTTCATCCCCAGCTGTGGTTTCTGGCAAACTGGTTTTCTGAATAATTGTAGGTTTTTTGAAGGGGATGGAGGTGTTGTTTAATCTGCCAGAGATTTAGGTTGCTGTCTGAGCAAGACCTTAGCCTCAAACGATGTAATGACTGCTTTCAAGACCATGACCCATGTTTGCATAGATAAACTTCTCAGAGTTATGACTTCATCTCAACCAGTGATGACACAGTTTTCTGTGTCTGTACAATGTGCCTGCACTTCCTTGATTTAAGAGTTAGGTGACTTCTGAAGGGGAGTTGTAATAAGCAGGGATGTATTTCAGATGTTGAACAGAGCTGGCAACTGCTTACAGAAAGAATGGAATCTCAAACCTTCATGTAAACAGCTAGATCCCTGCTGTCCTTACAGGGGAGAAAACTTTTAGCTATAAACAGAAAATTGTTATGGCTATTTGACAGGTAACCTATTCCATAAACTTACTTGTTTTAATCATAAAAATCATAGAGGCAGCATTCCTTAAAAACAAACATAAAAAGGCTGTTCAGGATGGACTGCATTTATATGGGACAGTTACCGCTATATTAGTGCATCACCAGCAACTGCAATGTAACTGAAGAAACATATTGACACATAATTAGCCACTGTGTCTTCCAATGAACCATGAGCAACACCTTATACTTACCCTAGAATTGCTGTATTCCAGGATTTAAGGGCAAGATTGCAGGGTGAGGAGTAGCAGAACTCAGATAAATGATAAACATAACTGAGAAAAGGCATGGTAAACAGAGCTGCAAGCAAACACTGTAGACTGAAGTAGAAAGAACAAAATACTCCTCCACACACACTACTTTGCAAACAAACAGATGCTCATTCATGCCATGTTAGATAATAATTCATCTATAGTACATTTTTAGTGTAATGCTACTTCAACTTCTTACATATTAACATTGAATGAATCCTCAACAGTAAATGTATTGCCATTTAGATATCTGGGGTGTTTTCTAGGTTTGGGAGGAGAGGCAGTTGATTTGTTGGGGTTTTTTACTCTCTGCTTGGAGTTCCAAAATTTTACAGTATTTGTATCCAGTTAGTGCTCTACTTAACAATTCAGAACTAAGATTCCTTAACATTTTTTATCATGGAGGAAAAACTTACAGGAAACTTATCAGTCACATGCTGACAGATACAACTAACAGGTACGAGGTGGGATTGCAGGGTGTACTTAAAAACATTAAAAATCTTACATACACTATTCCAATATATATCATCACTTAAAAAGGATCTTTGAAAAGGAATGTACAGTATTTCAGACTCACATTCTTACTAATGTAGCATTTAATTTTCTAATTAAGTATTCATTTATTATACTCTCCTTCTTCGGGGGTTTGATTTTTCATATGGAAGCAGCTTCTACCAACCTTTAAGAAGTAGTTTTGGACTAAATCTAGTTTGTGTGGCTAGTGCAGAAGAGCCAGAGTGGTTTCTAAGGCGGTTGAGACCTCTAGTGTCCAGTTCCTTCATTGCATGGCTAATTATTATTTTTCTCCTGTTTTTCCCCCATTCCAAACAGTAACAAGAAATTGTTCATGTTGCTAATAAAGTGGCGACTATTGAATTGATTGGATAACTTATCTCTTTCAGTTTCTGCCTGTTCATGTCCCTACTGAGGAAGAAAAGAATGATCCCATTCTTTTTGCCAACAGAGTCCGACAAACTATGGCAACGTATGTACTCAGTCATGAATAAAATCTTTGAGAACTTTTATATCCAGCAATTCCATATACATCCTAGCCATAAAGTAGAATTTAGTCAAGTCCCAGGTGCTATATATAGGAATTGCTCTAGATTTTCACTAAGAGGTGTCAAATTCCTATACTAAACCACCCTGATTGTTTTTATATGGAGCATAAAGAAGGTTGTCTTACATTGGAACATAGTATGTTCAATTCATGGAAAGCTGGAATAAATTGTTCCCTTATTTGCTTGGCAAGAATAAGTGGGTGGTTTGTTCTCCAGTGTTACTAGGCTACATTTACAAGACTGTAAATCTTAAGACATCATGACGCTGCCATAATGTAGTTTCACAGTATGGTTTCACAGTTTAACAGAATGGCACATATTGCTTTATCCTACTTGGAGCAGTGCAAGAATGAATTATCATTTGTTTTGTACATTAGCATTAAAGCCAAACTGAGACAGAGAAGGGAAACAGTCAACTAAAAGTAATTTTAATATAAGAAACTGATTTTTCTTTTTCCTTAATTTTGTTTCAGTGCTTTGAATGTGCCAGTCACTGACCACACTTTTGAAGACTGCAGACTGATGATTTCAGCAGGACAGCTGACTCTACCTATGGAAGCTGGGCTGGTGGAATTCACCAAAATTAGCAAGAAACTCAAGTAAGGGAAGTTTAGCTGTTGGTAGCATAATTACTGCAGTGCTGCAGGTGTTGATGGCCATCGACAAAAGGATAAATTACCTGACAACTGACTTGGCCATGTGTAATACAGTGTACTTATGTATACAGCTTACATACGTAAACTATATGGAAATCAGAGATGAGGAAAATCCCAGTAAGAACCAATCCTGAGTAATTTTTGTGGGCAGTGTTACAAGAGGGAAAATGCATTTTTCTCACCTTCTATGGATTTATCTCACCAAAAGGTGAGGAAGGTAGAGCAGTACCTATTTTAGGCACTTGATGGTAGTCTTGGTGCCCAATTTAAATTGCTTTTGTGGAGATGCACAGGCAGTGTGTGGTAGGAAGTAATAAACCTTCTTTCCAGCCTGAGACTTCAGCCAGTGGCTTACTGTTCATAGTTGTACTGTGCAGCCATGTTTTGCTAGTGGTGTCAACTTCTTCTGTGTGGATACAGTAGAATTTGACGACTGAACCACTTAATCATACAGTAACTCCATCAAATAACTTGGCATGGCTGTCGTCACATCTGAAGTACGTGCACAGTAAATCTTGACTTAGTACATATGTGCTGTATATCCATTTATAGAACTCTATCTGGAACAATCTTCAATAGTTACCTGGTAATCCTAATTATTCTTACTGTGGTGCAGTGGTGTATTTCTGCAGAGAGATAAGATACTTCTCAGGTTGTAGTGATACTAGCATTTGGGTAGAGAGTTAGCTAATCGAGCTGAGATCTATTCCCTTCTGTTAAGGAAATATTCTCCCTAGAGCATGATGCAGCAAAATAATGCTGCACCTGAATTTATGGTAATGAAAAGCTCTCTGCTAGACTAGCCTAGTAACTGGACAGATGATTCTAGGTTTAGGAAGTTACTCTAAGGAAGTCTGATATATCCAAGCATAGAACTGCCTGCTTTTAATATTAATAACCAGGGGGAGCCATCCTTAATTGCTGATTTCGTATAAAATATCAGGCTGGAAGTAACAGCATTTCTAATGCTGTACACACATGCTCTGTTTGGCTATTACTTATCTTTTAACACTGTAATAACTCCTACTGAAATTCCCATCTGTCCAAGATCTGCTGCATAGAAATATCTCCTCTCCCTCATGTTTGCATAGCCTAAAATGGAATCATGTCAGAGAGCAGTTGGATACCTTTGCTGCTATTGCAAGTGCTTCCAAAGGGGGAAGAATTGGAATTGAGGAGTTTGCAGAGTACTTGAAGCTTCCGATTTCAGATGTCCTCAAAGAGCTGTTTCTACTCTTTGACAGGGTGAGTAGTTGGTTAACTGACTTGTTGACAATGTTTTGTTAAAAATCACATCCCTAAAGGATATTTAATTCATTGTGTCCAGCTTAGTAAATGCTTCTTCGTTAGCAATTCCTGTAGGAAAGATAAGTGACTCTTATAGTTTCCTTCTTAAGTTTCGATGGAAAAAGGTTGGTCAGTTTGTAGCTTGTGAGAAGACAGCCATCTCTTGGACCAAGTTGCTGCACCACCATCAGATGATAATCTTCATGCTGGTAATGGCTGAATATTTCCTTTTGCCTACCCCAGATTTTGAGCTTATGTACACTCTGACAGCTTAATTAACTGATATAGTTGTAAGCAGATAATGTAAGGCAGATTGAAGGTGACTAGAGTGTATGTTCCTGCTGTGTTTGTGAAGGGTGCTATGAGACATTACAAGGACTCCTCTTGCCTATATCCCGCCATAAAGGAGGCTATGCGTTAATCTGATCATTTAGGCTTTCCCCCATAGTCAGTGGTGATCTCTCCCATTTTCTGCTTCTCTCTGAAGATGAGAAAAATTGCTCTGTGGATGCGCCCCTCTGACTATACCAGAAGCATCAGTGACTAAGCATAGCATAGAATTCATCTTACTTCTAGGCATCCAATATGTGCTACAGTGCAAGCAGCATGTTGTACTGCAAGTGCGTATGAACTGGAGTTTGTTTCTGATCATAGGAGCTCTCCCAACTCAGCATCACTCTTCCTGATCAAGTTAGCTTCAACGGTACACCTGTCCTTGGGAGGTCATTGCATTGTATATGCCGATTAAAACTGTTTCAGGATTTTTCCAGATAAAAAGGTTTTACAAGCTCTAAAATAGAGAAGAATCAAATGTATTTCCTTAATTGCTGAATGCATTGAAGCTGTAGCAGAGCTAGGTACTCATCCTTTCTTCATTCTTGCCTCCCCATCTTAGACCATTGGCTCCTATGAACATGTAGTCTGAGTCCTGAGGCACAGTACATACAATAGAAATATGGTGTGGCAACCAAAATAATTAAGGGCAACCAAGACTCCTTTCACTTTCCCTGTCTGGCACAATAGTATCAGTGACTAGAATTAGCAATGTAATGCTCAATTCACTAAAAAGTTGAAGGCATAAAAGATTGCAAGAACAGACAAGACTCTAGTAAGCTTTTGCTGCATTCATCTTTAAGGAGATCAGCTTAAACTGAGAAACAGACACACTAATGTGGCAGGGCTTTTTTCAAATTGCTTCAGTTATGAGCACAGGTATTTTGAGACTTCTGCTCTGTGGCAGCCTCGTTTTTTTTTTTTTCTAAAAAGATTCCTCAAATCACATAAAGCTAACTATACAAAGAAGAAAAAAATAGAGGCGTATCAAAAATTGGCAGAAGCTACTGAGACCTGAGATAACTCTGGCAGCTGCAGACATGCACAGAGACAGGGAAGTCTAAGCACGCAGATAAGCTGCATTTTGCCCACGCCCAGCTCAGACACAATACGGCTTGGGAGAGTTACAGAAGCACTGGATCTCTGAGGAACAACAACTTTCAAAAAATCTTCGCCATGTTCCTCGCTAAAGCTTTGCTGAGTGGAGGAAGTGGTAGTGGTCGTGGAGGGAGCCTTGCACGTGGCCTTGGAGGTCTCCTAACAGGAGGTGGACACAGAGGGAATCTTGGAGGACTTGTCGGAGGTCTTGTCAATCTTATAAGTGAAGCAGCAGCTCAGTATAATCCAGAGCCACCTCCACCTCCTCACCATCATTTTACGAATGTGGAAGCTTATGAGAGTGAGGAGATCAGGCAGTTTCGTCGCCTTTTTGTCCAGCTGGCTGGAGATGATATGGAAGTGTGTGCCACTGAGCTAAGGGACATCCTGAACAAGGTTGTTTCCAGACATCAAGACTTGAAGACAGATGGCTTCAGCTTAGACACATGCCGTAGCATGGTAGCCGTCATGGACAGTGATACAAATGGCAAACTGGGCTTTGAAGAGTTTAAGTATCTGTGGAACAACATCAAGAAATGGCAGTGTGTATACAAGCAGTATGATACTTATCAGTCAGGCACTGTTGGGAGAGCTCAGCTGCCAGATGCCTTGAAGGCTGCAGGGTTCCACCTGAACGAACAACTCTGCCAGGTAATCGTGCGCAGATATGCCGATGAGGACGGTAGCATGGATTTCAACAACTTCATTAGCTGCTTGGTACGACTAGACAGCATGTTCCGGGCCTTCAAGTCCTTGGACCGAGATGGAAGCGGACAGATCAAAATGACCATTGAAGACTGGCTGCAGCTGACCATGTATTCATGAAGGTATAGCAGAGAAGAATAAGGTTCGTCTGGAAGATATATGTGGAAGACTACAATCCTGTGCTATAGAACTGTAGTCTTTTCCTTGTTCTAAGGCAGATGTAGCTAGCGGCAGATAGCTCAGCTTAAAAGTATTGTGATTCCTCTTGTGCATGCATTAGTCTGCTTTTCTGAAGGGTTTGTGTAAGTTGTCAGTTGGACAGCTGCATAAGTCTGTCTCGGAGAACTATCTCTAGACTCTGAAATGAGGGAATATGTTGAAGGATCAAAGCTTAGTTATTCACATAAAGTGGCTTGTATATGGGTATATTATATAAAAAGCTCGTAAGTTTGGCGTTGATGTTACTGTTTTGATTTGTCAGCATTCGCTAAGCTGGAATAAAGCTGTTTGCCTGAAGGCAATTGCTAGTAAAGAGTGTTGTGCAGTTATTTCTAACAAGGGGAAAAACATGAGGGTTGCAATAACTATAATGATCAATGAATTTATATAATCATATTTAATTTCCTTCCTACTTCTGCTTTTTCACGCTTGTCTGCTGAAGCAAAACCTGAGTGGTATTGTCAGTTCTACCTGCTGGCCAGGACAAAATTGAAGACTTATATAAGGCTACTTTTACAACTTTTTTCTCCTTTGTACAATTGTATTAACTAGTCTTTTCTCTCTTTCCTTCAAGCCTTATTATAGTTATAATGAAAACAACTTAAAATACTACATTTATATTTAGAGAAGCTTGCTGTAATAATGCAGTCACATAGCAGACAGACAGCCAAAATCAACCTCTGGCTATCTGAGTTAAATTTTATCAGGGTGCAGTGTCCCACTCAAGCTAGTTATGCAGTTCTGTCTAAGATGTCAACTTTTGAGTAAAAGAACAAGGAATGAAATGAACTGTCAAAGGTACATTTCTTGGAATTAAGGATTACATAGTTGATGAAAACAGCTCTTGCACTGCAATGTAACAAGGCAGATTTCTCAGCAGGGCTCTGCTGCTTTAAAAGAAAATTGTCTAGGGTGTGTGCTAGCTGACTGGAATGCGAAAGATGAGTTGAGTAGCACAGCCTGTGCACTACATGCAGTCTCCAGATGTAAGAGTGCACATGCCCCTGCCCCTCCCCAGGGAGACATCAGTGACTAATTGAGAAACACCTCACAATACCTGCAGGGCATCTGAATGCTAATGGAGTACTGTGGTTTGGTTTTGTTTCTAAATTTCCATAGCTTTGATTTCTGAATCCTGCAGTTACACTTGGCAAATAGTACTTTCCAAACTGATGAAATCTCTTCCCTGCTATACTTGCAGAAGCCTTTTACTTGCAACTTAGGAAAAAGTAACTTACAACTTTTGCCCAGACTTTTTTCCTCCTGCACTTTGTTTAATACTAAGCTGGGTGACACAAACAGTAAAAACATTCGTATTGGCCCAGACTGTGATGAAGGAGGTCAGTTCCTTCCTAATGGCATTCGCCCCCTTCCCAGTTATTCAGTGGAAAAGCACACAGTTATCCACAGTGGCATTTGGGCTCTGAGTAATAGAAAAGTGAGCATGAGGGAAAGTGTGGTATCTCCAGGTGTGCACCATCCTACCAGGTTTGTTTCAGAATTTCCCTTTCTGACTAGTTAGAACTTGCATGTAGCAACAGGCGGTGGAAATTTTGGAGTTACAGCAATAGCCTCTTAAATGATGAGCCTGGATATGAACATGAGAGGCGCATCTGCAGTTCCTCCCCAAAAGGTCCAGTTGTAGCTTCTCTGTGGTAGCCCCATAAGTGACTCAGGGTTTACTGAGCTAAACGTGAATGACTAGCACACACATACAAACTTGATTTTCCCATTGCCTTACATAGTGAGAAAAAAGTTTTGAGGCAGTAGTACTTCAAACTTTATTGACTGCATCTGTCTTGCAGTGCTTGTGCAATTCTAAATGGAGACTGCTTATGAGAATGCAAACTTTATAGTTTCCCAAAGTGTAAGATTTACTGTATTATATAAAAAAACAACAAAACCCTAGTTACCATAGCATGCTATAGTGGAAATAGTAGCAGAAGACTAGTGTCCTTGAAGAAAACAAGGGCTGTTGAGGTTACACTGTTTTGATTATTTTATGTAACATAAATACAAATATCTAAATATTGATGTTCTGCTTTGCTACTGAGAGAATTGGAGCTCAGCTCACATGTTGCTTCCTTAAAATATTCTTGGCTGCAAACACAGCTAGGTATGTGTAGAAAGACTACTGCAAGTGCTTGCTTGCAGCAGTGCTACACAAGCACTAAAGGTTTTCCTGCATTTTCAGTTTAACTTCCATCTATTTTTCCAGGCAACAACCCCATCACTTCTCCTTAACCAAAATGCCAGAGCATTTGGAAGTTAGCCAGCATCCTAGGGTTTAGCAGAGCTAGTCACAACATGAACTTGCAAGTATAGTAACTTTACTTCCCACTCAAATGGCTGGAGTCCTGCGTATCAGATTGCGCTCAGTTTTGATACTGGGTTTTAGCACTTTAATGAAAGTATTATGACCCTTATTAGCTCTTGTCATTTTTCCATGTGCAGCCACAGCTGTGTTAACTTATTTAAGAAGCTGGTTTTTAATGAGACTGTTTTATTTAAAGTTTACTTTCCAATTCTTTTCCTGTGATACATACTCTTAACTTTAAAAATAAATTTAAAAAAATACTCTAATCGCATCAAACAATCCTTTGCTAAGAATACAGTCTATAAAGCTGTCCAAAAATAATACTCCATGGAATTTGAACAATGATTGTCTACACTCTTGCTTCAGTTGTTTTAAGAGTTTAGGTTTATAATGATACATTTTAAAGTTGTATCTATTATTTCTATTATGAGAACTATGATGTAGCCAAAATATTTAAAGTCAAACGCTGCAATACGAGAGCACAGATTTGTAAATAAAACAGCACTTCTGAGAGAAAGTTGTCCTTTTATAATGATTAAAAACTGTCAAAAGTTATATCCCTTAGACACACATGAAAGTAACTTAAAGGGTCTTCATATCTTTGCTAAAAACTTTCCCGAAAATTCACAGGATTTTAAAGAACAAGATGTTAAAAGGTTGCATGTCTTCAAAAAAGATTGGTTAGACCATCAATATAAAGAAAATAACAGTTGTCTGTGCAAAACAGTCCTGAATTGGTTTTGAAGGCTAAATAAAATTGTATCTTAGCAGTTTAAAATCCTGTCAAATATATAGTTTGATAAAGAAAAGTTAGTGCTGAACACATTATTATACATATTTTGTTAATCAAGAACCATCTTAAAACTTGAATTCAGTAACAGAAATCCCTATTTCATAGAACCTAAGATTTTCAAAGCGCTCTGCAGAGCAGCCTTAGCATTTCTCCACTGGCAAGCTCCATATTCCACTATTCAGCAGCAAAAAACCAAGAACAGAAAGGTTGCGGTTGGTATGCTCAAGTGGGCATTAGAAGTTGGTAGGAGAGCCAGAAATAGAATCTAGATCTGGCTGTTCACTAGATTTACCCAGGAGACTACCCCTCTCTTGCTTGGCTGAAAAAGTTTTGTGCTGTTCTCAGACTTAGGGAGTCCACTTTTTAAAAAATCTCATTCTTCTTGAAATGTACAACACATTATCCACAAAGGGAACTCCACTTTACACTTTTGTTTGCTTTTAAAATGTTTTTGATGAATGCCCTTATTGTGTATGTTCCAAACTATGAGCTACCAGTCATCTCTACTATGCTTTCATTAACTACTCTGTGGCCCATCACCAAACACTTATATGGCTTTTCCCCAGACAGGGTGTTTCCTAAAACCCTCAAGAAACTTGCCGTGTGGTCACAGTAACACTATTGACTTAAGCATATATTTCAACAGGCATCTGCCATTTTAACTATCTGCAGATATAATCAGCTTAAACAGAATTAATCATGAATCCCATCAAAGGAAGCTTCAAATGTTTTGCTGATGTAGCTTTGTAGTTAACACATTGAAATAAATGTTCGTTCACATCAAAACTGGAATTACCAGAGAGGCTGTTACAATGAATTCATTGCATTCCTGGCTTAAAAGGTAGGACAGTGTATTGGCTTCAAAATAGCATGTAGGGCAATGCATTTGCTTCAAGGAAGGGCTTAAGATAGACCACATAGATTTACTGCATCATCAGGCTGTACTTTTGCTGACATGTATTTTATTGCTGAAGGTTCTTAGGAAGAATTAACTCTAGGCAACAGCCTCACATCATTGGCCTGTTTATTCTAGGATGTTGCATTGGTCTCTGAACTTTAGGAATTTCCAGGGGTACGTGAACTGTTACAGTTACCTTAAACACACTTATTCCAATTCTTGTTAGAGGCTTTTAGAGGGTCATGTACTAAAGAAAAACTTTTAAGTCATTTTAAATCTTTTTTTGTTTGGGTGTTTTTAAGATAGAAATTGATACCCAGCTTCCAGCTATTGAAAATATGTAGCTACTTCAGCCCTAGTATTACATATATTTAGCCAGCTGTTAGTATTTTTTCCAGGAAGAACAAACACCTCTAGTGTTGTAAACTGTCTTAGTGCATGTTGTATAGCTGATTTACACAACAGCTTTTAAAGTGATTTGCAATATTAACTATATAACTACTGCCATGCATATTTTGGTTACAGAATGGAGATGGCACCATCGACTTCAGAGAATATGTAATCGGCTTGTCTATTCTTTGTAACCCAGCCAACACAGAAGAGACTATTCGGATGGCATTTAAGGTAAGTTCAATTTAGTGTAAATCTACAAACGTGACAAATCAAGACTGACTGCAAATCTGTTAGCTTTCAAATCATAAGTTTATAGCTTCAATCTGTTATGCAAATGTGAGTAATACTCTTAAACCAATTGACATTTAAGAATGTGAAGGGGAGGGGGAGAATTGCAGGCTTCAGCTTCATAGAAAAGGGTTTTAAAAGCCATGTGAAGGCACTAATGAGTATGTAACCTGGCAGGCTAACTCCAAAAATGATTCAGCAGCACTTGCAGTTTTTTTGCCTGAGGTTTTTTCTGCTGTGATCCTTCAATGTTACGAGTAGACAACAGATGGAGCAATATCCTCTTGCGGGTCAAGCACTCAGTAGAATCACTGCTGTTAGCAAAGAAGGGAGAAAAAAAATCAAGAGGGGCTATTCAGGACTGGGACATCCAAAATTGGGCTACATCTAAGATGATCTATTGGCTTGTACTATAGTGTCCTGATAGTACAAGCAGCCAAGGAGCAGTAGCTCCTTTCAGGTCTTAGGTACAAGCAGGCAATATGTGACCCAGGGATGCCCAGGTTGTGAATCCCTGAATAGGAAAATGGTCGAGTGACTTCTTTCTTAGTAGATTTTTGACACAGATTCATTATTTTACACACTGATCTGTTCTTATGAACCATATTGAACAATATATTGAGATATGGATCATGTTCCTCTTAAACTGGATACTTTTTAGTACTGATGCGTACGTACTCAAGAGGTACCAGAATTTTTATGGCAATCCATTATATCCACTGGCTGCTTTACAGATAAGGACTACAACTGTTCAAAGTGATTTGTGCTTTTTCAGGGATGTTTTATCACTACAGATTCCTATGAAGAAGCAAGCCTAGCAGCTCTTGTTGCTGTTTTATTGTTTTGTTTTCTAGATTCTACTCTTCAGTATCTTAACAGTTGCGCTGATTATGAAATTAGTCATTTAATTCCCAGTTTCAGCGGGAAATGACTGGTTCAGCTGGTAAAAGCCTGTTTCAGTCTGAAATGGAACTATGGGTTTCCTTTTGCTACCTGTTTTCTCTACCACTAAATGTACTTTCCCTGGCAATGGGAAAGTTTGCCTGTAGCAAGTCCTTAAGAATTACAGCCATCCATCCCTTTTATTTCTCAAGGGGTTGCTTCATAGCAGGTGCTTACTGTCACTGTGCTGGGAAGGATGGGATAATCAGTGTACATCTACTGCCTACATTCCAGTCACCAAAATTCCTTGTTAATTACAATAATTCCTTAGTGGGTGACAGATCACATATACTAAAATTGAGGTACTTTTGTGTCAGAGCATAAACTATGGCAAGTTTAATTTGATGGCAGATGTGCCATAACTTAATGAAAATGAAGACTAAAACCTAAGATGTTCCAGTATAGAGCAGCTGAATCCAGTAGACCCTTAGCATAGCTCACAGTGATAATTAACATAAACCTTTGTTTATGTTTTGTTTTTATCAGTTTTGTATGGGTTTTATTACTGAACTAATGCTGTGAGGCTGGTTTGTTGTTGCAGGTTTGCTACATACTTTTCCTCTTAGAGAATATTCTAATCCCAGCTATAGCATGTACATCGCTTTGCTAAGTGTCTGCTTAGTCTTATTCTAGAGACAATACATAAAATCTTTTGCAAGAGAAAGTAGCTGAGATGCAACCAGTCTCTTCAAATCCCAGGCACTGTTTGCAGATCATCTCTTGAATACGAGAAACCTAATATGGGTGGATAATGTGCACAGAAGGTTCATAGGCAAACTGATGCTAAAGTATTTCTACATTTGATGTCTTTTCCAGCTCTTTGACATGGATGAGGATGGCACTATAAGGGAAGATGAGTTTGCTTGTATCATTCAGTCAGCTCTGGGGGTGCCTGACCTTGATGTTTCTATGCTCTTTAAAGAAATAGATGCAGATGAAACCGGGAAGCTGTCCTATGGTAAGTTACATCCTTTTGTAACAAAGAGCACTCTGATAGTCATATTGACAGTAGGAGTTCCCTACCTTTTTCCTCCCTGAAATTATCTGATGGTTCTCATACCCTGTTTCTGGGGTAAACTGTTGAAGCACAGACCTAGATACTTTGTGTGGTATGCCTGAGATGCTTCAGAGGAAAGTTAACTAGCAATCAGCTTCAGTAAAAGGAGCAGGCACTGAAATTTTCTTTGATTCTCTTGCTGCACTATTGTATCCGTGTTTTTTGTATTTTTCAGAGGAGTTCAAGGACTTTGCACTCAAGCATCCAGAATATGCCAAGTTGTTTACTACATACCTAGAGCTACAGAGATACCAGTTAGATATGTTGGAGGAGGATGACACTGAGTCACCTGAAGTCAAACACAGTCCAGTTAGAAAGAGTACAGTTCCACTCTCAGAAACAACACCAGTTGCAAGAAATAAAGTCTGTCCTGAAGGCAATGAAGAGTGTAACTCAAGTACCTCTGACAAAAAGGATGACTGAGAAGAGTTAAAGAATTCAGCTCTTGAATTCTACAGGATTTTTTTCCCTAGCTATTCATGAGCACAATTGATATAAAATAGAGATGGAAGTTACAATTTTTAAAAAAAAAAAGTTTCTTTTTTTTACTTTCATATCAGGAGGAGTTATTCCTGTTTGAGTCTAAGGGAAAAACCACTGTAACTATTCTATCCTTGATGTCAGTATCACAATACTGGGAATGTTGTTCACTGTCTTCCAAGTTTATGCTTCCACAAAAGTAACAGATGTGCTAAGAGAGGCAAGAGGCTCCAGCACTGCAGTGACCTCTCAGAATGGAGACTGAGGCGTCCACTTGCGTAAAAACAAGTGGAATTTTTGGTGCTGCTCAATTCCTCTACATCCCCAACATGTCTTAAGGGGAAAAAATGATGCCAGAGTGTTTTAGTTTGCAGTATCCCTTAGCCTTTCTCAAGTTTCTGAGAGACACAAATGAGTTACAAGAAGCTCAGAGTTGAAGCTGGTGTTTTCTTTCAGCTGTCCTTAGATTTCCTTAACTACTTGTGAACTATAAAGCCTAAGCTTCTGAACAAGACATGCTGATTCACTGATGTTAACAGAAACAGCTTTAGGCTTAAAGGCTAGTTAAAGATGGAAATGGCTGCACTTCTAACAACAAAAAACTAATTGGAATTCCAAGATAGCAGCTCACAGTCTACAGGAAAATGCAGACAATAAGACCCAAGAATTAATGGACTATTTCAAAATAAATAGAATGTTGTTTACAGTAACAACTGTTCAGGATCACATTAGGAGGAACATTTCAAACTTCAGCATATTTTTATTCTAGTAATTATCAACAGAGGAATGTGACCTTGCTCTGCAAAACTTAAAAGGCAAATACGCTGTCAAGCCATAGTTCTAGTAGTTAGTATCTCCTCTAAAGTTGTCTCCTAGAAACGATGTTTGCATTACTGTGCCATTACTCAATGTGTTCTTAGGGTTTAATTCAAAACCAAGCTCTTTCTAGTCAATGGTTTGAGTATGTTTTGCCTCAGTCCCCTCTAGTGCACTGGAAATTGGGCCTTCACCTTTTTCCATCCTTCATCTGAATGCACTTTATGCAATATTTAAAATATATAGGTATTTATGCAAATACTTCTAAATAAAAACTTGGAAGGGGTGGAGTGACAGGGTATTTTCAAATTAAAACTGAGATGAGCAAAGCCTAGAATGTCTAGTACCAAAAATAACCAATTTTCAGCAGGTGTTCATATGTGAAATGGTAACCTCTGCCTCTGAAGTTACTGCTTGCACTGTCTGGCTGCAAGCTTATTGCCATATTTAATCTTTCTGTGTTAATAATTGTGCCTATCCTGATGTTTCATGTGCTTAAAATAAATCTATATTTTTAAAAGACTTCACTTGAACAGCTAAGTCTTTAGTACAGTGGGAAGGGTACTCTGTCTACCTTAAGGGGCTGGTGGGACTTCCAGGAAATCATCCTTATGATGTTTTACCTTGATAAACACAATGCAACCTGAAGTTGGCATTTTTAGTTCTGAGTGTGATGGCACTTTTATTCATGGTAAGGCTAGAAAAGTAGGACAGGACCGATGCTCTCCCAAAGAGTTACTTCTGTCGACTGCCTCAGCAAGATGGGATATGATACGAAGAAGATTTGCAGATATGTGGAGTGATACTACCATTTTCTGATGGAAAATAAGGCATCACCATTTACAGGTAAATGAGTGACCTCAACCACAGCTGAGAAGTAACAGTCATGGCTTTGTGTAATATAAACATTAGGAGAGGATTTTCTTTCACTTTAGAGAAGGAGAAGCAGGAGTTACCCTAACCTGGCTGTACAGTTAGCTGGAATACATGTTCATTTCTTGGCAAGGATGCTTCTACCTAGCATGTTAACCGAAGTCCTCAGCTTTTCAACCAGCAGTAATCTTTTCAAAGACGACTTCTATTCCAACCAGTAAGAAAAAGATGGGTGGGCAAAGATGACAAAGACAGCCACTTCAAGGTCTTGGAAGGCCAAGGGTGCCTTATGCATGCTCCTGTTGAATCCAGACACATTCGACAACTGGAACACTATTGTGCTCAATAGCATAGCATATTTAGGACTAGTGATTTCATAAAAACCTTCAAGTCACACAAGCTCTTTGCAATTAAGCTAAAAATATTGTGTATATAAATCTACATATCTGGCTAGTTTAAGGAGGAAAGGCCATAAATGCGTTTGGTATGTAGCAGTGATTCAACTATGCTCTGAAAAGGAATCAGCTAAATGTTAAAGACACTAACTCAATATACACACATCTGCTTGATGTGCAGGAAGGGAATACATTAATTTCTAGGCATCATTGTGCTTCAGGGAGCTTTTAAAAGGACCAAACTAAAAGCAGTCTGCAATAAACGGGCATTACATTAAGTGGCAGGGCAGGAACTAAACAGAAGGAGAAGGTTAAAAATATTAAACAGAAAATGGTTCTCAATCAGGCATTGAGGGATGACACCTTTCTGCCTGTGACTTCCAGAGGTGCGAGTTCTTAAGTCTACATGCTGCTTAAGGATCATTTTGAGTCCTGCACAGTAGAGCTAGTAGAAAGGTATATTTGGTCCCATGTCACCGTAGGAAATATCATTTATTTAATCAGTACTTCTCTGTCATGCTGTAACATGGATTTGATGATAAATCCTTCACAGATACCAAAAAAAGACACTGTACATAGAAACTCCAGCAATCTTAACTGGACAAGGGTGAGAATCAGATGAGGACAAGTCTATTACAAGAGAAAAACACAACTAATTCTCAAGAACAGAGGCCCATGGGCTGCTGTTTTTCATGTTTTCTGATAACTATGTACCTACACTATGAATAAATCTCGTTTACATTTTTTAAAAGCTAGGCTCCTGTTTCTGAACACATAAAAGCCAGTGGCGGGTCACCTAGAAAAGTGGACCTTACTGGTTCACCCTGGAACGAGGAAGATATTAATACTGTAAATCCTGATCAATTTGTTTAAGGAAGGTGAATCAACAGGCTCTCGACTGGCCACTCCAGAGGTTGATTTCTGAGGGAAAGATCTTCTGATCCAAGGAAATTAAAACTGTATTTTTGCTCTTCCTTTGCTGTATCAGTGGCACTGCCTAAATAAAAGCAGAAGTAGAGATAACACATCCAGGTTTCATGTCAGATCATACTGCTAAACTGCCAAAATCACCTAATTCCTGGCTGGCTGCTGTCCATCAGTAGAACTATGAGGAGCAGTAACACTTCAATGGAAAGCATCCAAAAATGGATCTCCTATTTTCACAGTCAGTAACTGTGCAGCATCAGTGAGAGGTACCAAGCCAGGCAGGGGCTGCTGCTTCTGAGCTTTTGTACTCATTTACATCAGAACAAGTTAGGTGCCAAATCATATTCCCACAATGTTCCTGTGGGTGTTACCTCCTCTTCCTCATCAGCTTGCTCCCTAACTTGGAGGGGGGGCAAGGAAGTTCAGTGATTCCCAAATGGTTTGCAAGGGAAATTTTGCAAGACACCTGTGTGCTCTACCCATATAACCTCTCTCAAGAACCCAGCAGGACTAAGAGCCCTGGGAGGCCAAAGAAGGGTCGTGTTGTCTAACAGGTCTGATGACCGTTCATAGGACTGCTGCACAGGGTAAGGGCTGCTTGGCTTCATCTGTCATCTACCTAGCAATTCCTATCTAAAACAAAGTGTTCCCTGGGTATCAGAAGTCTGAGAAACATTTGTTGAGATCTTCTTTTCTACGGTGGTCAGCACACCAGGGCCTTGTTCCTGGGTAATTCCTCAGGCCCTATGCCAGTGCAAATAAATACACCACTGTGCCTGAGTGGGCTTCTGGTGGTGTTTCCATAGGTGCCAAGGGCTACTCAGAATGCATGGATGTGGAAAATCAGGGCCTGAAGTTTAGAAACTAAATGTAAAAAAAAGTCACTACATACACAAACACACCCACACTCCTCTGTGGACAGTCTGCCTGTGAACTGTTTGACCACAGCCTTCACCAAGCAAAGCAGCCTGAGATTTCATGCTGAGAATTACATAGCTCTCACTTTGAGAATGCCACAGTAAAAATTTTAAAATTAATTTTTTAAGAAAGGTTTGGGGGGTTTGTAGTTACACTTTGTATGATTTGCTAGGAAACTAGACTCTGTCCAGAGTGGCCTTTGGCTTAACATTTTCCTGTCAGTTTTGCATCCCTTGGAACAGCCCACCTTTCCTCTCTAGTTTCTCCCTCCACATTTCCGCCCCAACCACAGCCACTACCATCAAAAGCTGTATTCCACAATGATTAAAGTTAAGAAATTGTAAGATTAGAGCACAAAAATTACTGAATTGAATGGGATTCAGGGGGTACTTACGCAGCATTCAGGTAACTACTTTTACTGCCCTGCAGTAAGAGCAAACTTGTCAAAGGTTGCAAGGGATTTTAATGACATTTAATTAATTAATTTTAAATCTTTACTCAATGAAATAACATTTATTAGACTGACTAGCAGTAGGGAGACGTTTGTCAGCCATGCTTAAGTTGGCAGACTCTCTGTTACTATACATAGCCAGAGAGGCAGAAAGTAAACATCTTATAGGATTAGCAGCTATGATCATAGCTGAGATGAAATTTGGACATTTCATTAGTACAAGATTGATTCTGACATTTCATAAAGCCAAAATGCAAACAAAAAAATGTGTCTGATATAAATACAGTATGCGGCACTTACTCAGATAAAGTTCAAGAAGCCCAGCAGGTTTAGTACCATAACAAAGGAAATACAGAAGGGTCATTTAAGGACCCAACTTCTACTAAGCACTTACGTGTATGCTTAATCCTGTAGACATCAATCAGATACATTGTACTTATTAAAAGCACACAATAATACTAATAATGAGAAAACATGAAAAATTTCAATGGCTAGTTATTGTCAATGATGGTAAGAATTACCCCACCCTTACCAAGGAAAATGGTATCACAACTGATTAAAATTTATGAAAGTTTTCATTTATTGTGCCATTCTCTTAGTTTAAGATAGTCTGTTAACAATCACAGCTTGACTCATGAGACTTTAGACACACATGACAATGTTATAATAGGAAATACTTCATTACCTTAACTAGGCACTACCTACTGTTGTCTTTTTTTAAGCCCCCTGTGCTTCAACAGGTTGAAAGTAAATACGTGACCCTCTTCTCTTCTCTTCTCACATCACAGTTATTCTACATTTTCATGCTATTACATGCTTTCATGTGCTAAAAGTAAATCAATCATGTTAACTTTTTTCATCCGTTAGTTTTTGTTAGACTATCTAGAAAATATTCTGTTGAAAATCTTCTTTCACATGTTAAAATAAGGTTTAATTGAGGCTCATCTTTAAAGCTACACCTGCAAGCTCATTGTTTTGTTCTAAACTGGGCATAGGCGAGAGTGAGCATGTTTCCCTAGTTTCTAGAAGTCTCCCTAAGCGTGTTATCTCTTGAGGTTACACAATGGCTGCACAAGATTCAATTTAGCAGTGTAACAGTACTACAGCTACAACAGGAATCATTCAAACCAGTCATGGGTTTTATATAGGAGACTGGAGATTTGTATTTTCTAGGAATTGCTAGCAAAACAGGCATTTTGAGAATGATACTTAGCTTATGTTTCATTGTGAATTTGGTATTAGCAAGAATACCCAATAAACACACAACAAAAATTTATTCTCTTCCTAATAAACCCAGTAAATAGAATTTGTTTGCAGAAGTGAGAATTCATTAGATTAAGCCTGTCATTAAAGGGCTCCACAGAGGAAGGCCACCCAGCCTTGCCAGACAATCTAATCCATTGCTTAACAATTTCTACTGTTAGAGAAGTTTTTCTCATGGTCTAACCCAAATACTTCTGCAGCTGAAGTCACTAGGTCTTCAGTTCACCTTGCTCAAGGAGAATTGATTAATTTCTACTTCTCTGCAGGGTAACTATCTATATCTGTACATACATATATCCAGAGCTTATCACCATGCCTGTTTCACTCTTGCATCTCCCAGCCTGCCTTTCTTAAGCCAAAAAGCAAAACCTCTTTCATTCTTTCCTCAGAGGTTGCACTTTCTAGACTTCTGTTTGTTTTCATTTAAGTTCTCTGGAGATAGTGTCTCAGCTCCAGCCCTACCATTCATCAGTAGACTAGAAGGCTTTCTTTACATAGTTTGCAGTCAATATTCCTGCTCATACACATCCAGTGTTAAGGCTTGGCTTTTCTAAAACCACACAGCATTGCCCGCTCATATACAGCTATTGCTGATCTGTAAGCCCGAGATCCTCTTCTGAAGAACTGCTCTTTCACCAGCTTCCTCCTTTCTCTCTTCCTACAACTGCTCATTCCTGCCTACTGCAGTAGCTTAG